GTACGTACCGTACCGTACGTACGTCGCGCGTGAGAGTAATCGTGGAGTTGACGTCCACACATCTTAAAGTTGCCAAGGTTGAGAAACACTGGTCTAAAGTATTTTTCATCTTTTTTAACCAGAGAGATCAGGGCATCACGCATCATGGAGTAAGCCACTGAATTAGGGCTCTTCTACCTCAAAGGGAAGAGAGAATCAGTTCACAGTACCAGTAGATATATATATATCAATCAGATTGGGACATTGGAATTCTCCTGAACAGCTCACCATCTGTTGGTACTTGATTATCACAGATCATGCCAACATTAAGTATTCTAAACATACATAATTTTTCATATTGATTTATTTATCAAATTTATATAGCCACCCATCTTGCTGGCGTGACTCTGGGCAGCATACAATAAAGCAAACAAAACAAATCTTAAATAACCATTAAAACAGTTAACATAAAATATAAATAAAATCTTGGGAGAATGAACCAAAATCTCACATACAATACAGCCATCTTGTGGGCTATTGCCATGGGATCCCCAAGCCTTCTGGAAAAAAAGAAAACACATTTTAAGAGATTTCCAGAATGACAGAAGGTTTGGGGCTAATCTCACCTCAGGGGGAATGATATTCCAAAGGATGGGGGCTACAGCAGAAAAGGCTTGTTTCCTGGATCCCACTAGATGGAGCTGTTCAGCAGATGGAAACTGCATGACCTTCCTGCAGGACCTGATGGGACAGGTAGATGTAACCAGGGAGAGGTGGTCCCTCAAATAACTTGGCCCCATGCTATATAGGGCTTTAAAGGTCAAAAGCAGCACCTTGAATTGAACCCAGAAGCAAACATTTTAAACATTTTAAATGACATGGGTCCAGGTTACTTGTGGGACAGCCTCTTTCCAATCACATCTGCTCATCGTACCAGGTCCAGCAGGAGGGGTATGTTGCAGATCCCGTCTGTTAAAAAGCTTCATCTGATGGAACCCAGTTGACATCCCTTTTCTGCTGTGGCTCCTGCCTCTGGAACATCATCCCCCTCCCCCGCTGGGGTGGGGTTAGCCCCATCCCTGTTAGCCTTTCGGAAGGCTTTGAAAACATGGTTCTTCCAGCACCTTGGGGATACCATGGGGAGCCTGTATGATGGTTGTATTATGTTTAGATGGGTGCTCTCCCACAATATTGTTTTGTTAGCTTATTTATCTTGTATTTATTTATTTTTAAAAGTGCTTTAATAATTGTGATATTAACTATTGGTTGTACACTGCCCAGAGTCATGTTCAGTGAGAAGGGCGGTTATATAAATATGATGAGAGAGAGAGCACGCGCACGCGAGCACTTTCCATTTAAAACAAGATACACAATCAGTATCCATCAACCCATCATCCTGTTACGTTCAGCAAGGGACAGATTAAATTATCACATTCCTTTTTTTATCGTATCTAATCTAATCTAGTCTAGTCTTGTTTTGTTTTGTTCTTTTCCCTTGTAAAATGAAGATCTTCAGGCCAGGCGATGCCAGGGGATGCCTGCTCTGCAAATACCAATAGAACAGTTACAATTCCAGCTGGCGAGAACCAGATAAATCAGATTGCTTTAAATCCAACGGGCACTTTTCTATATGCAGCTGCAGGAAATGTGGTCAGAATGTGGGACCTGAAGAGGTAATATTTCTGTATTATCCTGTTAGAGCATTGTGATTTCTAGTGCCAAAGTGAATTTGTATTTGTAATCTGCACTAGACATCGCCAGTTTGGACTAGGACTAGTCAGTGACAGGTTTGAGTTCCTTTTCATTATATATTTATAGTGGGAAAGCTGATAGATCATAATTTCTTCCCATGGCAAAAGTGTTGAACTGCAAATGCTGTATGAGTACAGTGACCATATTTCCTTGGAAAAAAATAAAGGACAAACTTGAAAAAGGGGCAAACCTGAAAGAGGTTCATAAGGATAAAAAAATTTGTTCATGTTTATAACTTTGCTTTACAAAGGAAAATTCAAGAGTAAAACCAAGAAAACTTTACAAAACTGCATATTCTAATAAAAATATCTAAAATCGGTATAAGATTGAAAAAGAATTAGTTGAGGTGGCTTATTAGGTTTTGAAATAATCAAGTTCTTTTATATCTCACAAGTACTACCTTTTGCTATTCTTCTAGATTTCAGTCTACAGGAAAGCTAACTGGTCACTTGGGCCCAGTTATGTGCCTCACTGTGGATTGTATTTCCAGTGGACAAGATCTTATAATTACTGGCTCAAAGGACCATTATATAAAGGTACCCTCTCATGCATTTTTAAAACATATTAAAGTAGACTTGAAGAATTAGTACATTATTAGTACTAATAGTACATAATTACTTAGTAATTAACTAAGAGTACATTATTACCGTATTTTTCCGTCAATAAGACGCCCCCATGTACAAGACGCCCCCCACTTTTCCAACCCAACATTAAGAAATCAATATTTTATAGATAGTGCAGAACACATTTTTATTTAGTAGGCAGTTTTGCAACCACGTGGTTCTCTCCTCAGCTTACTTCCTTGAATAAGATGCCCTTCAATTTTTAGCGTAAGGATTTTAGAAAAAAGTATCATCTTAAAGTCAGAAAAATACGGTAATCTGTTTTTTACAGTTGAAAGGCTTGTCTGGCTGACATTTTCTGAGCACATTTATGTATGAAAAATAGGAATTCACCTATGATGAAAATTACAGGCCTCTCTCATCTTTTTAAGTGGGAGAACTTGCACAATTGGTGGCTGACTAAATACTTTTTTGCCCCACTGTATATGAGATGGGTGGCTATATAAATTTGAAGAATGAATGAATGAATGAATCTGTCTGAAGACTGGCAGTTTTGCAACCACGTGGTTCTCTCCTCAGCTTACTTCCTTGAATAAGATGCCCTTCAATTTTTAGCGTAAGGATTTTAGAAAAAAGTATCATCTTAAAGTCAGAAAAATACGGTAATCTGTTTTTTACAGTTGAAAGGCTTGTCTGGCTGACATTTTCTGAGCACATTTATGTATGAAAAATAGGAATTCCCTATTTGCATTGAAAAGTCTTCAGACAGATTCATTCATTCATTCATTCTTCAAATTTATATAGCCACCCATCTCATATACAGTGGGGCAAAAAAGTATTTAGTCAGCCACCAATTGTGCAAGTTCTCCCACTTAATGATTTGCAAATAAATTCTTTAAAAATCAGACAATGTGATTTTCTGGATTTTTTTCCCCATTTTGTCTCTCATAGTTGAGGTATACCTATGATGAAAATTACAGGCCTCTCTCATCGTTTTAAGTGGGAGAACTTGCCATAATAAAATACATAAAATTCACAATGATTTGCAAATAAATTCTTTAAAAATCAGACAATGTGATTTTCTGGATTTTTTTCCCCATTTTGTCTCTCATAGTTGAGGTATACCTATGATGAAAATTACAGGCCTCTCTCATCGTTTTAAGTGGGAGAACTTGCCATAATAAAATACATAAAATTCACAATGATTTGCAAATAAATTCTTTAAAAATCAGACAATGTGATTTTCTGGATTTTTTTCCCCATTTTGTCTCTCATAGTTGAGGTATACCTATGATGAAAATTACAGGCCTCTCTCATCGTTTTAAGTGGGAGAACTTGCCATAATAAAATACATAAAATTCACAATGATTTGCAAATAAATTCTTTAAAAATCAGACAATGTGATTTTCTGGATTTTTTTCCCCATTTTGTCTCTCATAGTTGAGGTATACCTATGATGAAAATTACAGGCCTCTCTCATCGTTTTAAGTGGGAGAACTTGCCATAATAAAATACATAAAATTCACAATGATTTGCAAATAAATTCTTTAAAAATCAGACAATGTGATTTTCTGGATTTTTTTCCCCATTTTGTCTCTCATAGTTGAGGTATACCTATGATGAAAATTACAGGCCTCTCTCATCGTTTTAAGTGGGAGAACTTGCCATAATAAAATACATAAAATTCACAATGATTTGCAAATAAATTCTTTAAAAATCAGACAATGTGATTTTCTGGATTTTTTTCCCCATTTTGTCTCTCATAGTTGAGGTATACCTATGATGAAAATTACAGGCCTCTCTCATCGTTTTAAGTGGGAGAACTTGCCATAATAAAATACATAAAATTCACAAATTACAGGCCTCTCTCATCTTTTTAAGTGGGAGAACTTGCACAATTGGTGGCTGACTAAATACTTTTTTGCCCCACTGTATATGGCTTTAGGCTGTATATAAAGAACAAAAAAGATCAATACAACAATTTAAAAACAAGAAAAAATATAAATGCATATGAGAAAAAGCATAATAAAATACATAAAATTCACAGCCCAGGTAATCCCATTCATCAAAACAATCAGTACTGCCAGTGTATCGTTCCCACCATACTCCTGGATCTCCATGTCCATTGGCAAAACTATGTCTTTGTGAAAAGCCAGCAGGATTGGGGCCAGTCTGATTTCTGGGGATGGGGGGGATGATATTCCACAGGGTGGCTTCCATGGAAGAAAAGGTTCTCTTCCTTGGTCCCTCCAGAGGATATTCCCTGGCTGATGGGACTTGCAGTATTCCCCTCCTGCTGGACCTGACCACTTTTTGTGGGTTTTGTTTTGATATTGAAGAGTAAAAGAAGTAGTTTGTGTTTCGTGTTTTTAATGAAAACAATCTTTTCCCTCCACATATTCAGATGTAAACCCCCTTAAGTTAATGATCTTATGCATGGGTAAATGTGTATAATATCACAGTCCAAACCCCAATAATTGCTGCTACTTAGAAATATTTTAAAATGTTACCATTGATATATTGCATAATTAGTACATGGACAAGCAATAGCAAACCATGTTTTAATCTTCTACTGGAATACTGCTATTCAATCAGGGTAATTAATATTGTTACTCTTTTGGTCATTTGATTATTGATAGAAACTAAAAAAAACAACTTCCAAGAAAAAGGGCTAGTAGATCTTTAAAGTAGAGCAAAATTATTTGTTATTTCTAGTCGGCTAAATACGGTAACAACATCACTGCTCAAATGAAAAAAGTGTAAATTTAACTAAAAACGGAATTTTATGTTGAAAGATTAAGAATTCAATTCAGTCGTGTTCCAAAGAAATTCCTGGACTAAGAATTCTTTAAGAGTATTTTACATAAGGCTTAGATAATTCTAAGAAATTCTAAGAAAACTCAAGACCAGCTTGTTTTGTTTTATATGATAATCTGAAGTCCATTCCTTGAGATATAGTAGTAGTGAGGTAGTTTTCGTAATGAGACTTTGAAAAACAATTTCATTTTGAGATGCAAAGAGGATATAAATAAAACTAATAGATTATGCATTTGTGATTACTGACTGCCCATGTTATTTTGAACTAACAAAGATTTAAATTCATTTACTAATTTCTACTAATGCACCATTCCAGACTTTCAGGGGATTGTTGAAGGACTATTGTGTGTTCATTAAGAATAATGGGTGCATTTCCTCATATATGTTCGGTTAAATGCTGGCCAAAACAATTCTGCAGATATACAAGTATATTCTCCCATTCCAGATGTTTGATATAACTGAAGGAGCTCTTGGAACTGTAAGCCCTACACATAATTTTGAACCTCCTCATTATGATGGCATTGAAGCACTTACTATTATGGGTGACCATCTTTTTAGTGGATCCAGAGATAATGGAATTAAAAAATGGGACTTGGCTCAAAAGGACCTAATTCAGGTAATGTTAAAACACAAGAAGGCATTAGTATACAAGAATTGTTGTCAAAATCAATTTTTTTTTCAAATATTCAGAATCTGCATTTTCACAACAAAGATGTTAAAACATGCTAAACTCATGGAGAAATGATAATCTAGACTAATAGGCAATATTCATTATTCAGATTTTATAAATTACATTCATGTGCTTTTCTGTAACCCTGACATCTCTTCTAGAATTCTGAAAGATTCCCAACAGCTTTCTTAACTGATCCTCAGAATTATAGAGAATAATATAATTTTTATTTTCACAGAATAGAGACTAGAAATTCAAGACAGGCCCAAATAATATACACAGACAAGCCTACTCATATTAATATTTGGAATACTCTGAAGAAAACAAACCACAGATGTGTTAAAAGTCATGTCAGGCCACTTACAGTAGGGCAGAGTCAAGGAAGCAAGGATGACACAGACTTCAGGAGGAGGTTTTAATGCAAGAATTAGGGATAAGGTACAGAATCTTGGAAACTGATAGGAACCTCCAACCCTCTTTTATTACCAAGCACATCAAGGCAGGAGAGCCAGGTTGGTCTAGCGGTTAAGGCACCAGGCTAGAAATCAGGAGACTGTGAATTCTAGTCCCTCCTTAGGCACGAAGCCTGCTAGGTGACCTTGGGCCAGCCCCTCTCCCTCAGCCGTAGGAAGGAGGCAATGGCAAACCAATTCCGTAATGTTGTCAAGAAAACTGCAGGGACTTGTCCAGGCAGTCACCAGGAGTCAAGACTGACTTGAAGGCACCAATATATATTGGCTGATTGGGGAATTCCGGGAGTTGAACTCCCCACATCTTAAAGTGGAGAAACTGCTCCAGATACTTTGAACCCTGACTCGAAGGCAACACACACACACACACACACACACACACACCATTAAGGCAGAGTCTTTTTTAAAGTTTTGAATCTCTTCTTGGATTTCCTGCAATCTGGACTGAGCTGCCATATTCTAAATAAGTCACTGATGAACTGTTCCCTCTGTTGAATGTTTGCCTCTTGAGCTCCTCCTGTTTCTTTCTCAGCCTCTTCACAGCCTCTCACAGGTTACTTGAATACTCCATTTTGGGGGATTGCTATTTGAAAAAGTGAAAACTCTTGAAACAGCTAATAGCGTGCATATTATTTTGCTGTATACACCTAATTAGCTTCCAGCTGATATTTTCTGAAACAGTTTTGTCTATCCGTAATTATAGGTGTTGCCATTTTTTCTGCCTGAACTTGTGATTTCTTTTCAGCAAGTTCCTAACGCTCATAAGGACTGGGTTTGTGCTCTTGGTGTCGTTCCCGATTCCTCTGTGCTGCTGAGTGGCTGTCGAGGAGGGATTCTGAAGCTCTGGAGGGGCGACACGTTTGCACCAATCAGTGAACTAAGAGGACATGATAGTCCTATTAATGCCATCTGCTCCAATTCCAGCCAGATTTTTACTGCATCTGAGTGAGTTCTTTTTATGTTCTGTACTTATATTTTATTTCTGGAATTAATTCAGGTGTTCTCATTCACTTGAAGCACTTACCTTTTTTTTACAAAATACGCTTTAACAAATAATTAGAATCATAAACATAAATAAATCTCCCAGGATTCCTGATTATATACACTTCTCTATGAAATGACAATACAGATAGTTATACAAAATATAAACATACTTATTCAGAATGGGTCTTATAGCTTTTGATTGAACACAAAAATTTAGAGTTTTAATTGTGTATTTGAAGGCCCCTAATGTAGCTTAATTCTCCCACACATTTGGAATATAAACCATAGAGGCCAAAACAATATTAACTCCATTCTGTGTCCATTTATAAATTGACATTTGCCAAGATGGAGAATTGCTACTACTCTCTATTACTTTTTTATCACATCTCCAAGCAAGCTTCAGGGTTTACCCAAATTATTATTTTTTTCAAAAAAGTTTGATGTACTTTAAAGCTTATATTTAATTGGTCCTAATAAAGGTATTTTATTGCACTTATTCTGTTTGTTTAGACCATTGTTTCTTAATCTCAGCAACTTGAAGATGTGCGCACTTCATCTCCCAGAATTCCCCAGCCAGCTTGCTGGCTACAGAATTCTGGGAGGTGAAGTCCACACATCTTCAAGTTGCTGAGGTTGAGAAACACTGGTTTAGAGAGAGGCTTGCAGTATGTGACCCCAAGGAGTTTTGACTCCCTCAGAAGTGGCCATGCTGGCTAAAATTAATGGGAGCTGGAGTTGACTTGCATTTGAAGGCTACTGTATATGTTGCCAATCCATGAGATTTATGGGTTGTAAGCTCCTTTTGGGTCAACGATCTTTTAGAATGCTGCTCTCCCCTAAATATATTCCCTAAAATTTTACATAGCAGAGCTGCTATGCCACTAAAATCTTACAAAATTTGACAGTCTCAAAAATTTTGTTAACATTTTAATGTGTTGGGAGTGCTGTGCGTATAGTTTTGGGGGTTGATGAATGACCCATGACTGCTGCATTGCCATTTCTGGTTTTTGGTTTATTTTTGTGTGTGTGTGTGTGTGTGTAAGAAAATATTACTTGGCCATACTGTCTGGAAATCCTGCGAGGAGTCCCATCACATCTAAGAGGTTTCCCTTTGGGGAATTCTGGACTAAATGGAAAGTTTTAGAATTAAATACACCACCTTCAAAATACTACTCAGCATGCTACAGATTCTACAGATTTGTGGTGAAATTCCCAATGAATAACATATAGGGTCCCTTCCCTTTTTAAAAACCACCCCCTTAAGGAAAATTCTTCCCATGGAGACTTTTTATTACTACATGAGTATTTACTTTATAAACAACAGTAATCTCTTTCAGTCCAAAATCAGATTAATTTAACTGAGTATTTAATTAATGTTTCTTTTTATGTTAAATGTGTGTGTGTAAGAAAATATTACTTGGCCATACTGTCTGGAAATCCTGCAAGGAGTCCCATCACATCTAAGAGGTTTCCCTTTGGGGAATTCTGGACTAAATGGAAAGTTTTAGAATTAAAACTCTTTAAATGTTAAAAAATGTTTTACAGTGATCGAACTGTGAAAATCTGGAAAATTCCCAGCAGTCTAGATGGACCGATCTCTGATCCAGGTGATACAAGTGAAGATATTGCCAGTAACTGAATAGAAGTTGCACCACTAGATGTCTCAAGCTCTGGGGATAAACTTTGCTCTCACTGAAGTTGCTCTGCATTTTTAGGCAAATGGTAGCACCTGAAAGAACTGTTAATTGTTCTACTGTTAGGCATTTGTATTCTGCTAAAAACTGCTGCCCTTAAGAGCTGCCTTATGTACTGCATTCAAAATGTGTTTGTTGGTTTTATATATGTCTGTGTGTGGGTGTGTGTGAATGCTTGTTCTCACATATAATGGCTTAGTTTGTGTGCATAAATAAGACTTTGCAAATTAAACTGGACATCTGTGATTTTGAATGGTGGTCTGAGAACTCTAATCTAGAATATGAAGCTGCCCTATGTACCTCACATTGACCCTTCTGTGGAATGAAACTTCAGAATTATCCACAATATACTGGTATATTTTAATCTCATTTCCAAAACCTTTAATAGAAGAGAACTGGAGGGGTCCTAAAAAGTTTACTTGAATTTTGCTGCTGTATGAAATATTAAGATTGGAATGTCAATAAACTGGGAGAGACGACTGCCCTTGACTGTTGCTGTTTCCAGACTGAGGGCTCCTGACATTACAAATCAAAAGATACCATGTGACTAATCAGTCTTTGCAGTCATCATGAGAAAATAGGGGAAGATTGGAAATTCAGAATCAGTGAATCCAGTGTCTGGATTTCATCTTGGTAAAACTACATCACTAAGGCAGGATCATTGCACAGTAAAACCCTGGAAGCACCCTATATTCTGCTAACAAGGAATAGTCCCATAACCAGAGCAGTGCAGCTATGTCTACTCTGCGCTCAGGACTAAAAACTAAAATGCTGTTGAATAAACATTTTAATAGGGCTTTTGCCTACCACAGTATTCATAGAGAAATACCTTAATTTTTTTTTTCATATGGAGTGCTTTTAATTTCATGTTCTACTTTATTTAAAAACAAACAAGGTTTTCTTTCTTTTAATCTAATTTGATATGCTGCTAAATACATTTTAAATATGTCTGTGAACCTTGAAAGATACTTAAAAGAATTGAACCAACGGTGTCAACAAAGGCTGTGTAAATATGTGCGTTATAAAGAAAGACTCCCTTAACTGGGTTCCTGAGTGAAATTTTAAAATGCTGTAGTGTGTGCAGATTAAGTGAGAGAGATGTATAATTTATCCAACTCTTCAGGATGTTAATTTGTAAATTCAGCTATTTTTAAAAGTTTAGAATAATTTTCAAGAACAATGTTTTATTGTTTTGTTGGATATGATGATGGAGAAGATGAGCTTATAGATGTATAGCTTAAAGTAGTCATTGCTTAAATTAAAAAACACCACATAACTGAATGTGAACTATTTGTTGTTGATTTTGTTTTCCCCGCTACAGAAAGAGATGTTTTTGCATACCCGCCAGGGAAGCATTTTCCAATAGCGTTCAAAGTAAAAACTGTGCACAGTACTTAGGTTCTCTTAGTATTTGTTGATACTAAGAATTCTCCTAAGAAAGGATCAAAGCCTGCATTTACTAACTTGCTCATAATCCAGAAGTAGAGGGAAAGTATTTCTCCCAGTTCTTTTGCTTTGTTATTCTGAATGGACTTTTTAAAACATGGACTGTTACATTGAAAATGCTAAGAGGTGCTTCGTGAAGCCCATCCCTCATTGAAGCAGCCATATCTGGAAAACTCAGAAGGGCTGCTCTGGGGCTTTGTCCATCCACGTGCATAGACAGACTACAATTCCATGGGGACTGAGAACACTTAAGCAGCTGTGCGCGCGCAGACACACAGAGGCAGCCAGGACAAGTCTTGCAGAGGATTGGTGGCCTTGGCACTTCAAGAAGAGATGTTTTTCTCATGTCATTGAACTTTACAAAGTGCCTCTTGGAATGCTTTGCACAGACATAAAATTTTACACTGCAGGTAAATTAAAAATACAGGCAGCAGAAAGGCAGAACACAGGCAACATATTTTTATTACTAATTAAGGGGAAAAGGACAGACTTCCCTCTTCCAATGATGCACTTCAGAGGGGAAGTGGAAGTTGGATGATTGTGTCCTTAACAGGAGTTAATAGAGCTGATCAAAATATCCCCTGGAGATTAGATTTATTCCTAAACAGACCCAGTAAGGCATAGGGTTACACTAACCCTCTTACATCAGCCTCCATTGTGGCCTTAACTGATTCTTAGCTTTCCAAAGATCAGGACAAAGATTTGTCTCTATGGCTCTCTTGGTTTTCACTCTTCCTTGCAGCCACCCAGAACAAGAGAAAGAAAAAAGTCAAGGTGCACAGCCTCCCATCTGCATAGTAAGAGGGAGGACTAAAAAAAGGGCTGCCACAACACAGAGGAAGCCATCCCTGACCACGTGCTGCCATGGCACAATGGTGAGTCTATTAACAGAGGTGGTATCATAGGACCAGGGCCAATTATTACAATCCTTAGTAAATGAGGAATGGAGGATAAAAAAAGCCTAAAGGTTGCACATGCAAATTATCTAGCTGAATATAATGTTTGTGTTTGCTTGGAATATAATTAACATCTTGAATTTCCATCCAACATGGAAAGTTAAATAAAACAAAATATTTTATGGTACCATGGCTATCAAAAACTGGGATCCCAACCTTGTTACACTATCTAAGTAAGTTTGTGTGTAATCATATTTATACCTATGAGCCTGCCCTTCAGGTAAATGGGCTGGGTTCATGCTGGGCTACTTGATCTTAGATTGAAAGGTTTGGGTCCAAAACAACTATTTCCAACCTAAAGGAAAAGATCTGTGGGAAAACCAATGGCAAATCCAGATTCTTTTTCCATGTGTTACATGACTCTCCAGAATTTATGCACTGCTGTCTTATTTGGCACAGGGATAACATAGTTACATCTGTCCAATTAAAATGTGCTTAAATTATTGAAATGTGCTTTGTGTGCAGCTACTTGGTGGCGAATGGAGCTGCCAAATGGATATTCCAGCCACATTCATGTTGCACCTGCTCAGCCAGTTGTTACATATGCTGCCCTCTCCAAGCCAGTTTTTCTCACGGTAACTTACAACAGACTTAAGCCACACAATAACATACTAAAACAACGTATGCAGAACTAAAAGCACATAATAAAAACAATGGCCCAAATTTCTAAATAGCATTGTTTCAAATCTATATATTGATTGATTGAAATCCTGGGAGAGAAAACAACTTTGGTGCTGAAAAGACAAAGGCAATCATTTTACTGGGTGGGTGTTGCGGAGTTGGGGTTACCCCTGAAAAGGCCTGTTTCTGAAAAGCCACGCACCACACCCTAGCATGGAAAGTGGTTTGGTGGTTCAAAGTTGTGCTTATGATAGATAAGGCACTAGACAACTCAGACCAAGTTACCTGACTACTTCCCCATTACAGATGTGGTCTATAATGGCCCTGCCTTGCCCAAATTTTTCTAATGGTGCTTAGTTCTAGATTGTTCTCTCTCCTGAGCATGGGAGGTAGTCACTGTTAGCATCTTTTCAATGTCAGTTGAAGACCTCTAAGAATGTTGGTCTGGCATTGCTTTAATTTTTCTTTTCCCTCTGATTGTTTTTGACTTTTTCTAAACTTGTATTTTACCAACCACCTTTGCAGTACTTTTGTATAGATAGTGGTTTAAAACTTATTTGTATGAATAGGAGCGCTTCTCTTCATCTCTATGTTTCTTGAACTGGAAGCCCTGATACATTTTGTCACTGCACTGTTAGAAGCCTTATTTTATTCTTTTTCACCCAATGGACAGTTAGTAAGAAATTATATGAAGAGGTTCTGGACTTTGTCCTTCCATCAGTGAAATGACTCTGAAAACAGAAATGGAATCAAATTCGGTGCATCAGGAGAAGCCAGCAAAAGAAAGATCAAGTTTGAAAATGAGACGGATGCGGCTTAGAGAAAAACATTTCAGAAAAAATAAAATTCCCCATAACTCTCAATGGGAGAGTGAGTTGGACTGCTGCTCAGAACACTGGGAAGCACAGCTGCATATGAAAAGCCTGCAGAAAATGGCATCTTACATTATTTTCAGTTCTTGATAACAGCTCCGTTCTTAAGCCTCCTTACTCCTGGTCAGGTGGCCCAGGATGGAGCTGTTATCATATGCAGCTGTGCTTCCCAGTCTGCACACACAGTTCAGAGATATAACATGACGGAAGAGCAGAAACACATGGGCAACACATAGCCACACATCCTGCTTATGCCCTGGGAAGAAAATGTACACCTACAGATAAACGTAGATGAACTGCATGGAGAGAACAGAAATGCATGTATTGAGTAGGGTGACCATATTTTCTTGGGAAAAATAAAAGATGAACCTGGAAACAGGCAAATCTGAAAGAGGTTCATGAGGATAAAAAAGTTTAACTGTTTATAACTTTGCTTTACAAAGGAAAATTCAAGAGCAAAACCAAGGAAAACTTTACAAAAACACATATTCTAATAAAATATCTAAAATCAAACTATATGTAAATTTATTTCAAAAAGACAATCCAGTTTCCATATTTTTCACATGAATGTGAAAGACTGCATTAAATGGTACCATTTGTATGGTAAAAATTGAAATGACCAAAATAAAGGACAGAAATGAGTTTTTCAAAAAGAAATCAATCTAAAGGACAGCTTTCTGAAATAAAGGGCTCTCTTTTGTAATAAAGGAGTATGGTCACTGTAGTAATAAAGGAAGAGCAGAAACACAGGGATGATGCATATACACACCCTGAGGAGAACGGAGAAGCATACAATCCCACATGTAAAATGCACTCCCAACGCCTGATAGAAGAAAGGCACTGCTGACAAAGGGATTAGAAAGAATTCCAGAAGCCCTACTTGCCTTGCTTTCCTGCCTCCTTTTTTTTCCTCCCAACCTGCTGGAGTATTAGAAATGATTCAGAAGCTCAGGAACCTTAAGCATGCCTCCTCCTGATCATGTGACCCAGGGCCTGGTTATTCTTAAAAGGCTTGGAAACTACACTGCGTGCACAATTATTAGACAAGTTGTATTTTTGAGGATGAATTTCATTATTGAACAACT